ATGCGTTTTTGTTGTAATCTTTAAGCTAAGGTTGTTTTGTCGACATTAATTTTTATTTGGACCTTGAATTAAAAATACCAGTGTGATTTAAAAATAAATTTGAAATTAAGTAAGTTAAGTAAGTTTCAAAATTTATAAAACTAACACAAACGCCGCTGTGGCTATTTGTGCTAGTAATTACTAATCGTAGTATTCATTACTCTTTAAATATATATATATATATATATAAAGTAAACATATTCTAAAAAAAGTATTTTTTTGGGGGGGGGGAGAACTACACGGGAAAAGTGTTCGGATTGTGCTAATATAACCTGTAGTGTTTTTATATATTAAAAGTGGTACCCTTTAGCAAAAAAAAATTAACAGTTTTTCCAAGAACTACATTTTTTAGTATTATATTTACAAATTACATCAATAAAGATATAACCAAACCCTCACGTACAGCCCAATGCAAGTCGTGTTTTTCTTGTGAGGAGAGTACTATTATTCAAAATTGTGTTCTGTGATAAAGAAATGGTTGTTGCACATATCACAGTTACTTTTCTAATTGTCTGAATCTTGAATACTCAAAGTGTGAAATTATGTAATGGTGCCATACGATAAATCACGCCACAGTGTATTTATTATTTCGGTCATATACATAGATAGATACATATATACACGTTACGTCCGTTATAGTAAGATACATTCGTGCTCAACTGTAATACAGTTCATTTATGTCTATAACAATAGGATATGTGCACATATAAATGAAAAAGAAACACGTTCAAAATTACTGTATTTTTTAGTTGTTTTAGTATATATTATTTCACACGTTATCTTTTTGTCAATTTCTGTGTCCGTAAGTAACACTAGCATCGCAGTAATGAATCGAGTTCAAGGATATACGGAGAGTTGTTGAATTTTATTCGAAAGGAAGGAATGCAGAGCATAAAATGTAAAATAATTTATTAGCTCTAAAATATGAAAATCAAGGATTCAACAGGACTCTGAAGTTATAAAGTGAACATGAGCTAATCCCCCCCCCAAAAAAACAGTATTTATCACCATAACTCACCTGAGGCAACTGTGTCCTTCCCCTAAATACCCAAACTTGTTTGAAGGTGATGCAAGCTTCTCATTGGTCAAGAGAATACACGGAGTTTACTTCCTATTGACAAAAAAAGGATTGCAACTGTTCCCATGTTTTACCACGACAAGGACACCACAAGAAAGCCATAAAAATTAACAAATAGAAAGTTACAAAAACCAGAATACATTTTATATGACATCTCAATATAACAAAAATATAAAGAAGAGCTATTCATTTTACTGTTAATTTCCTGATCAACTTAATGAACCTGTTTAAACTATGCCTCAAATTATTGAGCTTTCAATTATTCAGTTTCAATAACAGATCAAGGAATCTTGACCTTCACGTGATTCACTAATCATTCCATAAGTGAGTAATGTAGACATCTGCAGACTTGATATATTATACATTTTTATACAATTAAAATTAGAGAAAAAGTCCCACGTCCGATATTTTATATTAAAGTTACAGACAACTTTTAGCTATTTAAAAAAAAACTCAGAGACTCTAAATGAGGTCCCAAGTGAGCCTAACACTAAAGGGTAAAAGTAGAAGCATTTAGTTGATTATACACAAAAATATTAGTTGTTTGAAGATCTTGAATTTGAATGCCAAGTTCTGATTAATGTCTTGGTTTTGTAGATTTACAGAGATTTTAAATATAAAAAAAAATCATTTCGAAACATCTAGCCTGACACCTAGTATACATCTGCATCGTACAGCTCGACACATGTCTAGGACTATCTGGAAGGAAATACCATAAACTTCATTAAGTGTTTCCAATTAAATTCTCGTTTAATATATGTATAAGACCAGGTTTTCTGTGATAAAAATAAAAGTGACTATATCAGAGAATAAGGGAAATTTAGTCAAAAATACAAGTTTTATTCTGATACATTAAAATAGTTCAGTCCGATACATGCACGTCACATTGATTGTTTATATGAACTTTTAATTGAAACCGCTTCAGTTTGAAAGATAACCAAACAAAGTAAGTTATGCAAATGTAACTAGGTGTTGTTCAGAACTTATATATATATATATTTATTTTCTAATGACGTACTAGACCATCTTGATAAAGAAAATTAGTACATTGATAATGATGTATATCCAAAACTTCCCAAACTCATATCATGTCCAGAAAGGTTATTGGGCATCTGTACTATTTTTCATTTATTTAATTTTTGGCTACGTGAACAAACAAACAAAATATTCTGACAATTTAAAATAAACAAATAAATTAAATCTTATAAACAAAGTTAAACCTGTTAACCGAAGTCGACCAATAGCTCCCAGAGAAACCAGCTAATAACGACGACTTACTTTTCAATACTTTTAAAAATATCAGTTGTGCAAAAACGTCATTTGGTCAATAAAAACTGATGGGATAAGAACATAAACTGTCGGTGGCATAATCACTTAAGTTTAACAGTTTTCACATAAACAATAATAAAAGAATACTTATCAACTGTGAAAAAAAAAACTACGGTGGTCCAACATAAGACAGCTATTTAGATTTAGTCTTTTATTTAACAAAGAGCTGCGTTTGGTCTTCTTCTGATATTAAATTTTAGATGTTTCATTAACACTGTAGGATCCAGAACGTCTTCTGATCTTTATTGAAGAAGTTTCATTTTCTTTCGAAATTATTTTTTTCCGAAAAATTATGATCAACACAGTGACTAGTATTATTATTAGGACAATTAGCACGATGACACCAGTAATCACTGATACCGGAACGATGCCTCCAGTGGACTCTAATGCACTCTGTGTGCCATTTGTGTGAAAGGTTGTACAATTTATTTGGTCAGGCCACATCAGATGAATAGTTATTATGCAAATATTGTAATGCTTCTCTTCTTTTAAACCCTTCATTAAATAAGTGCCATCAGAACAATTTATTCCAGTTTTGTCCAAAATAACCTCTGAGTCCGTCGAGACTGTCAGCTGAAGTCTGCATAGGTCTGGTGGCTCGTGTCGGTAAAGGTCCCACGCGATTAAAAGTGAATTGTATTTTGTTTCTTGTAAACTGGTAAAGAAACTATTGTCGAAAGAGTCATGCGCTCTAGCGAAATTTGTAATGTTAAAAGCTTGAAATGGAATAACAGAAACTGCCTTTAAGACAGTCGAAGTAGCAGTGACCTCTGGTGGATAAATTTCATACGCATAGGTACTGGTATCAGTAGTTCCCACGAAAGAACTGGCACTAGTGGTGTCAATGTGAGTACTGGTAACAGTCGCAATCCTTGATGAATGAGTAGAGTTCACGTTTGTTCTGGATTTTGTAGAGTCTCTAAAAAACGGATAATTGTTCGTGTAAGTATTGGTACCAGTACCGACGGCGTTTTCAGGTGACTGACTGACGTCGTCTGATAAATGTCTAGTGTTGAGAGCAGGACTCTGACAAATGTCGCTGATGTTGGCACAGGTCATAGAACCATAGTCCACTTCTGTCAGGTACTTTCCTAACAAAGATGAGGGTCCGGAACATTGTTCGCCACCATCGATTTGGAGTTTCTCTTTCAAGATAAGAGCGAACTCTTTAATTGAACAATCACAGATGAACGAATTACCTATAAAGAAAGGGGAAATATCTAAAACTGTGTTATAAACATGCAGCTTATATTACTGTTATCATTAATAAAAATAATTAGCATGACAGTTTACTCTTGATGCATCCCCCCCTCCAGTGGCACAGCGGTATGTCTGCAGACTGATACTGCTCGAAACCGGGTATCGATAACTGTGGTGGGCAGAGCACAGATTGTTTGTTTGTAATTAAGCACAAAGCTACACAATGAGTTATCTGTGTTCTGCCCACCACGAGTA